TGGTCTCCACCTGCGGCGGACGGACGATGGCGGCCTTGAAGATGGTGGAGCGATGGTTGAGGACGCTTCTGAAGTGCTCGGCCCATCGCTGTAGAATTTGTCTTCTCGGTGAGCAGAGCATTGCTGTCGGCGCTCAGAAGAGGTGCAGTTGGTGCGGTAGGCGGACCGTAGACTACTTTGACCGTGGACAAGAAATTCCTCTGTTCGTTGCGGTACGCGTACCCTTGAAAGTCCTCAGCCTTGAGAGCCGTCCAGGGGTCCTGCGTCTCCGGAGCCACTGTTGCACAAGGCGACGATTACGTTAAAGGCTGCTTTGATGACAAAGCAATATTCAGCTTACCTATGGGTAGCCTACCTTGAGGTCTCCTGCGAGGCCCTAGGTGAATCCACATTTGGAGATAACGGGACGATGATCGGTCCATCCGTCGGCACCCGGGATTGCCTTTGTCACCAGCATGTCTCACTGGTCTCGCCTCCGTACGGGGACATAGTGCAGCAGGTGCCAGTGTCGCGGCCGAGGATGCATCCAGGTGGCCTTCTCTCGTACTGAGGGTCGGGAGTGGGTGTTGGTCAGGATGAGCCGGTGTTTTGTGCAGGTTCGTAGAAGGAGCAGGTGATTGTAATTGGAGCCGTTGAGACCATGGGACACAGAACTCCCCTCCGAGCATCATGGTCTGCGCCGACCGCGGCGTTGAGGTCACCAGGGACAATGAGCACATTCGTCTTCAGCACAGTCACCAGGAGGGCGTGTGGCAGTTCGCGTCTCCTTGCCCTCCGCCTTGTCACGCTGCCGTCCTGTCCGCCTCACACTCCTTGTCGATACGCTGCTGAGACGCGCGACTGCTCGAAACCAATCAACGCTGTTCCCACTCTGATCGGCTGACGACGTGGAGACAACGGAGGGCGCACACACGCGCTCACTCAACACCCCGAAGGCGGACACAGACAACAGCTTGCTTGGAGCGCGCTCGCGGCGACTGCCTACAGAGCCCTTGTGTACGCATTTCCTCAGGCAGTAAAGGTTGTCCAACTCAAACCGTCTTCCCTGGCTTTTGATTGGGAATCTTTATCTTGTCGACCACACAACACTGGACAGGCGTGCAGGTCCTCGTAAAATTAGTCTCTTGCGGCGGCGTCGGATCTGGTTATCGGCGGAGCGTAGACGCTGATAATGGTGGTGAATTTACCTCATGAAGGGGCAGGCGGATTCTTATCAGGCGATCGTTGATTCCCTGCGGCAGACAGGCCAGTCGCCCCAAAATGTCGTTCCGGACGGCAAAGGCGACCCTCGCGTCCCGTCGTTCTGACTTGGGACAATCGCTCCAGAAGTAGGTGTGGCCGACACCCATCTGCTCCAGTTGGCCTTGTTCAGAGAACCGGGTCTCACTGAGTGCAGCGATGTACACCTTGTAGCACGTCAGTTCCCGAGCCACTAGTATCGTCCTCCGTTTCGGTCGGTTGCTCCTCGGATTGTCTAAAAGGGAACGAACATTCCAGGCTGCCAGAGTTGGCGGACACCCTATCAGCCTGTAGCGTGGGGCGATGGGGAAGGGGGAGAGTGAGTGTGTGTGTTATTTCTAGTCTGGTTTTTCGACCGTGAGTTTAACGTCTTCAACCGCGGTCAGCCTGCAGACGGCGTGGCTCTTCAGCATTTGTTTAGGGCGCCCTATTTTAGCCCCTTCGCCCTCTTGGGGGTGAAAAATGCTCTCCCTAAATAGGGCTGTCCAGTTGTGCCAGGCTGCTGCCGAACTCCACTATGGGCCATGGTTTTTGTTTTGTTGGAAGAACGACCCGAGTTATCCTTGGCTTGCCTACGGTATCGCCCTAGGACTTCTGATCTGGGGGTGAGAGGGTGGATGGAGGAAGGGTAGAGAGACGGGACGCAGAGCTTTCCTGTACCTCTCTAAGAGAACTGATTGCTGAATTATAAACGGCCAGCATAAAAATTCAACAGAACGGTATTTAGCTTCTAGTAAGGACAAACACAGACAAGTATGCAGAATCAAGCAAGCAAAACAAGCAAAATAATGGCGGTGGAACAATGCTCGCTTATCTAGGGGCTCACTAGTCCTGTGGCCTCCTGCGGTGTTGCAGATGGAGTCTCGTCTCGGAGATACCGAGGCAGCGATCCATCTGGCTAGTAGAGCCGAGTTACAGTGTGCGCAGATGCACAGACGGATACCATCACCTGGTTTAGCCCGCCGGTCGAGGTGGTTAGATGAGTGTGGCCATTAGGAAGAGCCTAGCTTCGGTGAGCCACATGTGAGAGTTGGGTGCCAGCAAGTGGACGTTAGGCGTAGTCTACACCTGAAAGCAAGTGTGCGACCTACTAGGACCACCATGTAGGCCCACATGTACACACCCCACGCAGCCACGCACACACACACACGCAACGACGACGACAGTTCGACCGTCGATGATGTGTGGTGGGGTGGTGGCGGTGGTGGTGGTCGAGGAAGGTTGGGAGTGTGTGGTGTAAGCGGCGGTTGTCTACCGCAGGTCGTCGTGGATGCGCGTGTGGCCGAATAGACTCATGCGGTGCCTGAAAGTGCGAGGGCAGTGTGGACGGTGGAGACGGGTGCGGTGGGTGTAGGTCGGTGCTCCAGGCACTGGTTCGCCAGTCTCTGTGCGATGGTTTCGCAAGTGGCCGACCAGGCCGAGGTGTGAGTTGGAGGTGACAACGTGTGGGGCGATGGGAGGGAGGTGGACAAGAAGGCGAGGAAGGAGAAGAATAGGCAGAGGATGAGGAAGAAGAGGTAGGATGAGGAGAACGAGTATGGTTGTTGTTGTTGTTGTTGTTGTTAGTGTTATTGTTGTTTAGATTTTGAATATTTAGACCACGTTTAGACATCTGCGACCCACATCTGCGATGTCCACCGTGTGCCCCACACCTGCAGCAGCGGTGGGAGCAGGGACGGTGACTTACGCAGGGGTTTATAGTGCCAGTAGACTTGCGTAGTATCTACCTACACTCTCTCCTCCTCCCCCGCCTGAGCCCGGTGTCAAGACAGAGTCAAGAAGACCGGAGACGAGGGAGGCCGCAGATGGATGGCTCGGACGGATCCTCACCTTGGCGTTCCACACAACAAATGACCAGGATTTCAACCAACACAACAGAGATTTGGAGGCTGGCACGGCCGAAACCTCACCTAGGCGTGCCGCCGACACCTGGCTCGGATCCCACGCTGTGGTGGGAATGCCATAAAGGCCACATTAAAAAGGAGCCATTGCAGCCTGACTCTCAGACCGCCTCCAGCTAAGGAGGAGGTCCAAGGTACCCCGTCAGTTGGCAACCTTCCAAGCCATGGCTTTTAGCGCACCGTGATAGCTTCAAGCGCGTCAGATTGAATTTAGTGAGGAGGAAGTGCGCTGAGTCGTCGACCTCACTCTCCCTTCCCATTCCCACACTCCAGCCGCCGTCCGAGCCGGTCGGCAAACTGGAGTGGGGAATGGGCGCGGTGGCTGACATGGTCGACTGACCATGCCTGCGCGCACCACAGCACGACCTGGCCCCCCATACACACACAAACACCAGGATTTCACACAATGTGGGTTGAACGGCGTGACTCTCACTTGCGTGAGAGGGCCGTGGAAGGTGCTGCTTCAGCCCGTCCCCAGCCCACCAGTCCGCCACTCCACACAACACACACACACAACGTGACGAACTACGTGAACCGAGAGCGGGCGTCAATCAGCAACCTTCCTATCCACGACACTTGACGTGTCGGGATAGTCTCGGACTCAATCGCCCGTGCAGCGGGAGCCGCATGGGGACCGAGTCGAGATGCACACTTCCCACTTGCGTGCAAGGCGGCAGTTGGTGCATGCGGTGGGTGAGTGTTAATGTGTGTTGTTGATGGTGGAGGGGGGTAGGGAGTGTGTGAATGTGTGGTGTAACCGGCGGTTGTCTACCGCAGGTCCTCGTGGATGCGCATGTGGCCGAACAGGCCCATACGATGTCTGAAAGTGCGAGGACAGTGTGGGCAGTGGAGGCGAGCTTGGTGGGTTTAGGTTGGTGCTCCAGGCACTGGTTCGCCAGCCTCTGTGCGATGGATTCGCAAGTGACCGACCAGGTCGATGCGAGAGGTGAAGGTGCGGTCGCAGTGAGGGCAGGTGTAGTCCTGATCCTCATCAGTGGGATCGGGAGAGGTGGGGGTGGTGTCGGTTGTTGTGTTGGGGTTGGTGATGTGTGAGACGGCAGTCTGAACGGCCGCCGCTGGGGCAGTGGAGGAGGAGGAGGAGGAGGATGAAAGTGGTGGTACAGAAGAGTTGTCAGAGTTAGTTGGCGGCAGAGAGAATGAGGAAGAGGCAGGCGGGGGGACGATGGTTGGGGCAGTTTGAGAGGTGCAGTTGATCCGAAGATGTCCAACAAGTCCGATTCGAGCCCAAACAAACACACACACACATACACACATCAGTTCGACTGTCGATTTCGACGATGTCCACCGTGTGCCCCACACCTGCAGCAGCGGTGGGAGCAGGGACGGTGACTTGCGCAGGAGTTTATAGTGCCAGTAGACTTGCGCTGCATCTACCTACACTCTCTCCTCCTCCCCCGCCTGAGCCCGGTGTCAAGACAGAGTCAAGAAGACCGGAGACGAGGGAGGCCGCAGGTGGATGACTCGGACGGATCCTCACCTTGGCGTTCCACCACACCCCCTGGTCCACACAACAAATGACCAGGATTTCAACCAACACAACACAGATTGGAGGCTGGCACGACCGAAGCCGCACCTAGGCGGCTGGAAGAGGAAGAGAGTGATTGCTGTTTTTGTTTCGGTTTTGGCTGTTTCGACCGTATGTGTTTTGTCTGCGGCCACGGCCAGTCTACAGACAGCGTGGTTTCCAGCAATTTTTAGGGCACCTTTTCCGCTCTCGTGGATGCGCATGTGACTGAATAGGCCCGTGCGATGAGTGAAGGTGCGAGGGCAGTGTGGGCAGTGGAGGCGAGTGCGGTGGGTGTAGGTTGGTGCTCCAGGCACTGGTTCTCCTGTCTCTGTACGATGGATTCGCAAGTGACCGACCAGGCCGATGCGTGAGGTGAATGTGCGGTCGCAGTGAGGGCAGGTGTAGTCCTGGTCCCCACCCCTGGTGTCGCAGGTTGGAGGAAATGTGTCTGTTGTTGTGTCATGGATGTGTGTGATGCTGGTGTGCGTAACAGCTACCAGAGAGGCCGTGGTTGGTGCATGGGCAGGAGGAGGAGGAGGAGGAGGAGGAGGAGGAGGAGGAGGAGGAGGATGGAAGTGGTGGTCCAGAAGAACAGCCAGAGTTAGTTGGCAGCGGAGATGACGAGGAAAGGGTGAGCGGAGGGACAACGGCTGGTGCATTTCGAGAGGTGCAGTTGATCCGAGGTGTCCATTAAGTCCGATTCGTGCCCGGAATGTTCGTTGACATCGAGGACACGTTGGAAGCGGTTTTGCGTCGGCATTGCGAATTGGGTACAGCTCTGATTTGCGGGCTTCGTGTTTCACTTTGGCGGCGGCGATGTGATTGCCTTGGGGCTTTCGTTCGATTGGTGCTTTTGTGCGGACGTGGGTTATAGGCCGCGGGCTTTGCTGCTTAGCAGTCGAAAATCCCCATCAGTTTCATTTGTGCTCTATTCACAGAATCTGTCTTCAGCTAAGTCTGACAGTGATTGTACATTTAATCCGAAATAAATGTTAGCTGAAGCTTTCACTGATAACTTCTATGTTTCGTCCAACCTGAAATCGTGATCTACCCCTCGAATAACCGTAGTCCCCACTTATTTGACTGCAGATGTTTCCTGGAGGTTTTAAATAGACACTGACCTGAAACATCTTACTCATTCAAGCCAATGAATCCGTGCGCGGCTAGCTGGCATCAAAGGCTGTTTGGTGTTGGCAAGTTCACAGCTGTTCGGAATGTAACCTATTGCAGGTTCGGAGAGAAAACTTCCTATTTCGGACTCGGTTGCCCTGAACTAAGATATTGACGCTTGCCCATCCGTCAAGGCTAGAGATATTTCATTTGCATTTCTGATGAGAATTCAAAGGAAGCTGTTTCTCGCGGATGCAAGTTTGCTTAGAGACACAAACGGTACCGGTATAGTTCAATCGACCGTTTATTTTCAGGTGACGAATGAATTCTGAAACGGTGGTCTCTCTCTGCCATTGGGTAGCCGTGTCCTGTCACATGCTACAAATGCACTCAGTTACTTTTATTGGTCAACGCCGATTTTTGAGGCTCCGCCTGGTCAGACACAAACGACGGGCATCCCTTGGTCCGATGGTGATTTGATCTTTGCGTTGTCCGCTTGGCAGAAAGCTATATCCGGACAGCAAGAGACGTTAACTACTTTCCGTCATTACCAGGTAGGTTTTTCTAACCTCGAAAATCTTGGAGGTAATTAGTCTTTGTTAGTTGTTTGCTTAGGGAGGTTCTCCGTCGGTCTTCCTAACGATGTGGAGCGATGAAGCTCTGCGAAAGTATTCGTCAGTGCTGTGACATTCACATAACCAAGATACATATTCTGTGGACCATAACTTACCCGAACGCCGGATGTTCTGCCCTTGTTTACTGAAGCATTTGATCTGTGAAGTTATTGCGTAGTGCAAATAACAGACGTGACATTTCTGACAGTCCACTCTGACTTTAGTTTTCGCTAGCTTAGATTTAATGTAGACTTTGGTGATATGCCCTCTTCCACTATCATTGATTGTTGGGACTACCGAATACCTGGGCCAGCTTTGGCAGTGAAATCCTCCAAGAAAACAATGCTGGACCGTCGGTAATAGGCCTTATACCCTTAAGTCCGTATCTGCTAGGAGGATGCATCCGCACATCTCCGCCCTACCGGAGGCCGAAGCGATCCGTTCTTTGAGGCACACGCAGTCTTATGTATGGAATCACCCCGAAAATTTTACCTTCACCGATGGTGTGACGGGACGGCTTGTACAGCATTTTGTCTTCTACCCTGAAGACCAGTATGACAAAGGCGTCAAGCCAGTCTGTGGATGCGATCCCTGTGCCCTTACTCTGGCTCAGATTGCCTGCTTGTCGTCGGCCAGAATTGTTGCCCGGGGTAGTTCTACCCATGAACTTTGTGGTATTGTCATATTAAACGAGGGACTGTAGTGCTGTCGAGGCATCTTAAGCCAGTTTATTAAGGGAATGAGGCTTTTTCGATTGAGCTCCCTATTCATATCGATAAACAGAAAAAGAATCAATAATTACATCAGCAAATGCGGAAATTCAAAAGTTAGCGGTAAGCGCGAGCCAGGCGCAAACTGCCGCTGCTAAAAAATCGTGATTATATGTACAGTAGTTTGTCAACAAATGAGCATCTAGTCTACACTTAAAGGATTCGACAGTTTCGGAAAGAACCACCACATCAGGGAGTCCGTTCCATGCCCCAATGACCCTGTGAGAGAAGGCGTTCCGTCGGACGTCCTCTGCAGTTTGAAGGGATGACAGGGTGGGCAGAAACTAGAACGGTGAATCATTCAAGCACAGAATCCAGAAAAAATGCTCCTCCTGACTAGGCCACTGTTATACCCTCGTCTAACCAGAAGGCTTACTAACATGACTAGTAGACGAGATTGGCTGTGGTATGATATTACTACCGCTGGTTGAATCTAACTCTGGGTCCTGAAGAGTGTTAATCTAGGAATCGTTTCTATCGCGGCTTTGGGCGTAGTGTCCCATAAGGCAAGCTCTAGAATTGCGCGAGTCGCCGAAGACAGCCAGTCGGGTATTTTAACTAGAGGCCAAATCTGGCTTTACTGGAGCTTACGACTACGGGTGTCCTTAAGATTCCGGCAGAGGGGCCGACCGGTACAGCGCTCTTAGTACCTGGGGTCATTGTGTAGCAGCACTTTGCGTGGCCCCAAAAAGATTAGAGGGGTACTTAGCTTGCTCGGTTTAGTGCACCTTTTACTGATCCTTAGGTAGATAGCTAAACCCGCTTAGCCCTAGGTTAAACCAGGCTTTAGATCCATCCCAAATGACTGTCTTTGTGAGTGGGCAGTTGTTTACCTAGCGGATAAAGTATTTACGGGAAAAACTTCCTCAAATCAACAGCAATTATGGTCATTTAACGGCTTGTCACACAACTTTGCAGGAAGTCTAGGCTTGATCGACAGATTACTAGAAAGGAAAGGACAATGAAGACCGACGATATCATCCCACTTCCATAGTTCACTTGATCATATATCGCCAGCTTGTTCTCTTTCGGGCCAACAGAGAGGATGTGATGAATCGTTGTTGATCATGCACAGAGGGCGCGGTTTTTAAAACTGATAGTGGACGGCACTGCGATTTTTGACCGACTTCGAACCATTAACGTCAAATTTCCAGTCACACGTCAGAAGTGGGAGAATGCATGCCCTGTGATCTTATTTTATCCCGTACGAGTATCGACGAAGACGGGCAAGGCGAGGATAGAGAAATTGCCTAGAACTGCAGAAGGAAGTGAACTCTGGGTACTAGAAGAGTTTGGCGTTCATATACTGCGTCGCGCTTTGTTGACTACCAAATGCTTTGGTATCTGAGGTTCTACTGCCTGAATAAACATTTATCCACAGGCAAGTTTCTGCTACCTATTGGAGTGCCGGGATTCGCTTGTATATTAAATGAGGCCTGGAACAGTCAAGAAGCAAGGGAAACTGTTCAATGGAAGCGATAGTCAGTCCCCGAGTACACCGAACTGCCGCAGTAGCTCGATCGCCTAGACAGCTGTACGCAAACTGGAAGGTTGCAGACTTGACTCTCAGCCATTAGAATTCCATGGAATACGTGTTTGTAAGCGAATAAGTCCTTGACCTCCGTGGTTCTCTCTGAGGACGGTTTCCCATTTTGTAATCGTTATCTGCGACTAAATCGAATTTGATTATGTTAATGTACTTGCATTTTAAAATGAATAGGTTGCCTTGCGTCTACAAACCATCAAGTCTCTACTTTGGAAAGTCGACTTAAAAAGAACATTCCCGCGAAGTGCAGGGCGTCATTTGGCACCGGCTGTTCCAGTGTCGCTGTGTATCAAACTGAATGCTGATCGAAAAGCCCGTTCCTCGGGGAAAATACCTGACGTTCCTAGTAACCTCTGGTTACCGGGAAAGTAAAAAGTGTACAGAACAGTTGTCTAATTTGGCGTGTCGAAGCCGAATGTGTAGCAAATTTGCCTGGGACAGGAAGACAAATTTGTTGCGTCAAAAATGCTAGCCCACCAAATGACGGCAGATAGCCAACCCTGAACTCTGATTGTGCTTATAAAGACCATTTTATGCACAAACGTCTTTAGTTTCAGAATGACTTTGAGGATCTGAACTAGTACGGTTAGTGAGAAATTGCAACATAAGCGATGAATTTCTGTTAGAAGGGCAAGTTTTCCCCAGACTACTGCTTACCTACATTTATTTCCGATAATCTGACAAGCAAATAAGCTATAATAGACTCCCGCTTTCTTAAATCATACTTCTCGAGTGTGAAATATTCATTTATTAAATTCGAATAAACCTAAACGATAAAAAACAAGTTTGACGACGTCCCTTCAGTTTCGCGACCGCCTCACATTCTTATCATCACCGTACGCATCCACAGTTCGTGACCTATCTCATGAAAGGTTTCGAACTTCGAAGTAAAGCCGCTGTAGCGCTCGAAACGTCCGCCCTGAATACACAAAAGTTACACTGCGTTAAAAATACGGCCTAGCCTAAAAACAAGCACAGTTTGGTTTAGACGGTATTATTTATTAACTAAGAAATAGTTTAGTTTACGAAAAACCAGCAAATCAAAAAAGACTATGACAGGTCTATTATTTAAGGCATAATACAACTGCAAGCGCAGACGGAAAATGTAATAAAACGGCGACTTGATAAAAAGCAGTAACAAATGCAACATATTAATACTTTGTTGAGTGTCCTTTGGCTTTTAAGGCCACTGTAAGCCGGGAGGGCATGGAGACCACTAGGTTGTCTATGGTGGTTTGGTCTATATGATTACTATGCACAAAATCCAAGTTTTGCCGCATTGAAAGATGCATTCTTAACTGGTTCCAATTCCTTTTGATAAATGCAAAAATATTTCTATTGGATTCAGGTCGAGGCTATTAGCGTGAATAAAAATGCTTTGAAAACCGCAGGCGGAGAGGCTGGCTCTGGTCTAAAATATTGAATTATAGTCATGAACTGAATTAAAATCACCTCTCGTTTGAGCGGTTAACAAGGGCATTATCCTGCGATATTACGGAG